AAAAACTGAAGAGTCCCTGCCCGAAGGGCTACCAGGGATTTTGAAATTTTGCGAGCCCTGCACAAGTCTCGTGCCTAGTATCTTATTCTCTCCAAGTCTTCTACTGTGATCAGATAAGTCAAGAAATTTGGGTTATTTTAATCTATTGTTGTGTTCAGGTTGTCAGTTGTTGGGAAATTGTTTGAGTTTTCGCTCTTATTGTAGGTTCTGATCAATTACTGTCTTTAAATCAGTTAATACAGCTTCTCCTAATTTTCCTTTTGCCACCACTGATCCATATAAAATATTCTGGACAAGTCAGAAGAAACAGCTTGGATGTACCAGTTCTCGTCAATGCAACCTCTCGCTTTGTGAGCTTCAGATGAAATGATATGATTTCCATGATTTCCCCCCCCAAAAAAAAAAATAAATAAATAATTTTATTCGTACTTCAAAGAAGTAAAAGTATAGTCCAAGCATGAATTGTGAATAAGCATTAATGATTAATAACACATAAGTCATTCTGAAAGTGCTGCAAATATTTATTTCCTCTTGGCTTACCGTACATGTTTAACCTGGCACGTGTAGTAATTGAATGTAATTGACTGTACTGTATGTTCCCAGAGCTATTACTCTGGGAACATGCAAACAAACTGATCTGCATAAGTGGCCTAAATAAATTAGGCACTAAACAGACAGAAGCTGCTCCCATCGAGCTTTTGAGCATGACAGCACTTCAGCAATTTGGTAACAAACGTGCTAAATCATTCATGTCTCTCTGAGGATCCAAGAAAACACGTTAAAGGCCTCTTCTTTGTTCTGCAGTTATGGTAAAAATATAAGACAGCACTGACATTAGATGGTCCTGGTGAACCTTAAAGCTGAGGACTCTTTCAGAGAAAGAGGAACCAATAAAGATGGCCCTCAGCTGCTTTGTCTCAGCAGTTATTCTTAGTCAGACGGTCACTGCTCGTGTATGTATGAGAAAAGAAAGCCTGGCAACCTGAGCTTGTATTGTGCACTGATATTCCAGAGGCAGGTGTGGCAACTAAAAGCTTATAAATAACTCCTGAACCTTTTATACGCTGCTATGGCCTTAAACAATGAATGCTTTGAGTCTCTGTGAGTCAAATGACCACTAGACACAAGAAAATCTTGTACCACTTATAGTAAAATGTCAATTTCCTTTAAATTGTCTGCAGATTTAATGTCCTAAAAGTGGATTTCAGTCAAGTTTATGTTTCCAGAGATAAAAAGTTTTGAGAGCAACATGAATAGACACAGTTCCAATAAACTCTTGGGAATACAGTGCCATATTTAATTAGACGAAACAATGGCCAAGACAACAAACGAAAGACAGGAAACAATGTGAAAAAAGTCGTGCTGCAGAGGATCAACTCGAAGTCAAATCATGAAAGGAAACTTCTGGAAAGTTTGAAACTGATATCCAGTGTTTACTGAACTAATTACTAAAGCCAGCCACAAAAACACAACCCTGTGTAACAGGTTTCAAATTAGTTTCGTCCTTGAACGTGTTATCATTCTCCAAGTAGCAAAACAAAAGACTAAAATAAGATTAAAAGTACACATACACCCACAGATAAGGTGACTATATGTACAAGTATTCCTGTGAGCCAAGAGTTCAGGATTTGGACTGCTTTGGTTAAGTTTCAAACTTTTTTTTTCAACTCCTGGCCCTGTCTGATGTCATTGCAAGCAGATACCACTAATATGGTCATCTCTGTGAACACTGACTGGGTAGCCAATCAGAGGAAAGCTGATTTAAAACATTTTACTTTAAACAGATGGCAAACTGAGGGGCTAGAAAGTATAAGTGAAGCTACTCTAGTACATTAATCATCAGAGGGCCATAAATGTTACTGCCGTTTATGCTAAGCTATTGAGGATGTGTGTAAATTATGAAATGCTGGTGACAATCATTAGGGTTCATCCTGTGGGCATCATCATCATTTTCTGAACCAAAAGTCATTGCAATCCTTTTAACAGTAGAAAGATTTTGCTCTGTATTCACGAGCGATCACACAGGAAGCCTGCATTATACCAACTGCTTTCTTTTAAAAACAGACTAACTGGTCACTGTTAATGTGACAGTGACAGTTTCCTTTTCAAATACTACTTATTGTTTTTTGCTTTTGTTTTCAACTATCATTTCTTTCTTCCTCGCTTTCTCCCGTTCTCTCTGGATCTTCCTTCTCTCACCACGGGCATCTACCTCCCCAGTGCTTTAGCCTTTAATTTTCTACCATTTGTACCCAGGTGGAACAGTGCTGAGAGGGCTGAAATAAATATATATTTCTTTTAGTGGCAGTTTGTAGTTCTACCACAGCCAGTTGTTCTCCTGAGGTCGTTCCAGCTGTTACTTTCAGCTGTTGGGGTTTCATTGTACAGGGAGCTATTGTCTCATCTTTTAGCTGCTTGTACACAAAGATCTTTCTAAATCGATCTGGCAGTGTGTGTGTGTGTGTGTGTACACACGTTTCTGTATACACAGGGGTGTCATTGGTCTATATTTACCAACTTAAGAATGAGACAGCATTGTGTTGTCGACATACTTGGCAGTGAAGGACACCGAGTTCAGGGTCACCCTGATTGCTCAAGAGACATAGAGAGAGTGAGGTACAGTAGATGAAGACAGACAGACAGTCAAAGGCAATAAAGAGAGGTGAGACACTAAGACTGAAAAGCATCTTCAAGGAGTGAGACAGGGAGACAAAAGGAAGTGGAATATATTCGTCCTACAGATCTTTGGCAACAAGAGAAACTGTGAGTGGGATTTCCATTTCCTCAGCCATTAGCTAGATCTACCACAAATAGCAAGCAAGGTTTTTTTTTTGCTGTTCATCAGTTTCTGAGGAATTAGAGTACCTAATAACACTAAGCCTGGGTAAAATGCATGCACTGTACCTCTACAGTACATTTGCATAATGCAGCTAATTGCTAGTGTTTTTGCTTTGTCAAAAAGGTTTCCCTTCTCTTCTTGTTTCTCTTGAAAACGTTTGCTCGCTTCTTCTGCTAGCTGAACTTCTTAATTGTCTTGTCTTTTAATGGCCTTAGTGGATGCAGCTTTTTAATTACTCTCCTGGGAGACCACAAGTCAAGCTCCTGATGTATTTGTATAATTTCTTTCCCTTCGATGTTTAAAACTGTGAATCATTTACCTTGTTTTGTCTCAGGTTGATAGATTTTTATTATTATTATTATTAACATCAGACCTAGAAAATGAGCTCTCACATTACTCCAGAGACTTTAAAAAAAAATTGCACGGTGCATAAGAAATAGAACCACTTTGCTTTATCTGCTTTCCCTCCAGGGGCCTGGGGATCCAGGCTTCCCCATGGAGATTGATCAATTCCAATGTGCCAGAGGTTGACCTACTATCCTCTGTGCTCAAACAAACCTCTCCCCTTGGGCAGCAGTGAGACGCATAAAAACTAATATAAAATAAAATAAAATAAAGTAAAGCAGCAAGGGAATCAGCTGACCTGCAAGCGTATTAGCCTGTTCCCCAAACCTCTTCCACAATGCAATTGAAGGAGATGAGAAGAGATAACACATTGCACTTGTTTATATTGCTAACACAGGTGGCTGCTATTGGGAATGGGTGAATGAAGCTATCATTCAGGCACGACCTGATTCTGTTTGTTGGGTGCGCTCTGCACTCACCTCCCCAGAGCAAACACATGATTAATGATGGACAGGGTGTGTGCAACACCATGGCCAAGCTCAACTGATAAAATGTAAGAGGCTCAGTTGCTGAAAAAAAAGGGGGTGATTCACACCATTTCAACATGTCACAACACAGTAGGCTGTACAGTGAACAACACACAAAAAAATTGTAGGTTTTCACTTTTCTTTAGCTTTCTTTTCTATTTTACCAATTTATAGGTTAACCCAATAACTAAAGCTCCAATTTCCAGTTAGAGGCCCAGTAGAAACCCCAGTCGCTGGGGGAAAATGATCATTCCCTGGCCGGTTTGCAAGTGATTTCGGACGTTGCCAAATTGGGTGGAGCACCAAGAAAACCTCTTGCGGTTGATTTGGTTGCTAGCAGATCTCCATGGTCAACTGCAGTTTGCATAAAAGGTACTAACTTGTCGGCAAGATGTCAGGGCTTCGCAGTGTGGAGAGAAGGAAGAGAGGACCCAAATGCAGGATTTATGAAGGATAAGGACAGTGTTTATTACAAAGGCAGGATGAACGGAATATAACAGACTGAAACTGACTGATTGACTGAATTGCTGGCTGGCTGTGTTTTTCCACTGAACTGGAAAAACACACATGCAGAATTGTCGGCGGCAATGACAAGACAATGAACTGGAGGAAAGTAAGGACTTAAATGCACAGGAGTTATAATGATGAGAGACAGGTGAGAACACAGCTGAACTGAATCTGACTAATCACACACAGGAAGTGGAACAGAACATAATGGACACAAACCGGGGCAAACATAAAACATAAAATGTGAAACTAAACAGCGACAAAATTCAAAACTGAAAACGCTGGGTCATCGACCCAGAAACCCTGACGCAAGAACTTGCAAACTAACCTCAGAGCTGTAGTGAAATTACAAAAAAGTGTGACAAAAAAAACAAGAAAATAGAGAACGTTCACCTTCAAAGTAAAAGTTGTGTCACAAAACATTTCAAAAGGCGAACAGTCTTCGTTTCCAGTTCGCATTACAATCTTAAAAGGTTAACAACCACTTAGTGAGTAGCTGGTGAATGTCTGCAGACAAGTCAGTGACTTCTCCAGCACAGTTTATCTCTTTGAAAGCAATGTCGCCTAGCAACAGTAAAAAACCTCCAGCAACCACTTGCCAGCTGGTTGGGGAATATATGTTTCTCCATAGCAACCACAGGTTGCTAGACAGTCGCCATTCAGTCTCTAGACCTGTACGACAAGAGCCTATAATAATCAGCAGCTTAATGGAAAAAAGTAGTTTCAGCAGTATTTCAAATGTTTTTGTAAAGCTACATATTAAAATGCTTAATCAGTTTTAATGTATTAAAAGGATTCTGAACAGTTTCTTTTCCTCTCTGAAGTGTATCTTTGACATATTGGATTGAAACCCCTTTATCGAAGTAGTATTGGGTGTTTGATAACCTCTTTTGATTGCTGTAGATTTAGAAATATAATTATAATTATTATCGCCTTGTTCGTTGTTTGTAGTCACTTCAATATAATATCATAAGAGATTTAAGCACTACGACAAATATTCTATATACAATTAAAACTTAGGGCTGATTATTTCCCATTATAAATCTATTGCTTTTGAAAAGCTTCACTGTAAACATATGCATAATCGTGCAAATAATCTGAACTCAATTTCAAACCCAGCTTCAGGTTGCTGATTACTAATACAGATACCCTCATGGCTAAGGCTACAGTGCCTTTAGTGCTCGACTGACTTCTATTGACAATCACATTGCCTCCTACACACCTCTGCATGCTCACTCGTAGCTTCCCCTCCCCTCCCAGGTGCCGGTTGGGGGGTTACCATGGAAACCAGGATGGTGATGCATCGAGAGCAGGAGGAGCAGTCGTCCCAGATGTCTCACAGCATGCAGCTGTCCTCCCAGATCAAGAAGAGGACCTTCACGTCAAGGTGCAAACAGACACACAGTGATAGCAGCATCACTGCATGCCATTTATAATGAATTAATTTGATAATATTTATCTTCATTTTAACAAAATTCGGGAAATGCCACAACCAAAGAGGAACTAATCCTAAAGGTATTATCTTTGACATCAGATCCAATTTATTCTTTTCTGCCAAAGGCTTTCTTTGTTGCCCAAAACCTAGAAAAATCTCAACAAGCTACACTAAGTGGCATGTTCCTTCATCTCGCTAATAAACACAGGAACCTCTTTATATCGTGTTATGTGTGGTATGTGTTCTCCGCTTTTCTCTGCAACTATTCTTTCGATTTACTTCAAACTTGGCAGGTGTATTGCTGGGGGCTCACAAAAATGCAGTGTTAAGCTTGAAGTCTGTCAGATCAGAACTTCTGATAATTTTGCTAGAAATCGCTTTCTGTTACACTTCTAAAACAACTAGTTGCCTAAGGTGTTTAGGGAACATCGACACACCGTCCCCCAAGGAAAAAAAACATCAAAAACAACGGCTCTCACCAAAACAGGTCTGTTTCTGGTGATTATTTGACTATTCAGTAACTGTTCCTTGTAGCATTGCTCTGTGCATAATTTCATGTGATTTATTTTCCATTTTTATTACTTAAATAGAAAATACAGGCTTAGTGAAGTCAAAACATTATAATCAAGAATTGGTTTTGGTCTTTTCATGGGGTTTGCTAACAGCACAGAGGAGGAGTAATCCTTTACCCTTTCATTTAAAAACCACTACTTATCAATATAATGAACTAAACGCACTTAAACATGTGGCCTTTACATGGATTTACTGTCATCAGTGATCAATAAGTACTGCATACACATGAAATTCACTTCATTAGATGCATCTGTTCAACTGATTATTATTGCAAATATCATATGGAAGCAACTCGCTGCATTTAGGCCTGCAAACATGGTCAAGACCTGGTGAAAGTCAAACAAAAGATTATAATGTGGAAGAAAGATGATGTAAGTAACTCTGAATGTGGTGTGGTTGTTGGTGCCAGAAAGGCTGATCTGAGTATTGCATAGCGCTTTACTTAGTCCCTAAGGACCCCAAAGCGCTACACTACATACACTACATTCAGTCATTCACCCATCACACTGGTGATTTCAAGCTACATTGTAGCCACAGCTGCCCTGGGCCGCACTGACAGAGGCGAGGCTGCCAGACACTGGCGCCACCGGGCCCTCTGACCACCACCAGTAGGCAACGAGTGAAGTGTCTTGGACATAATGACTGGGACTGTCCGAGCCGGGGCTCGAACCGGCAGCCTTCCGATTACAAGACGAACTGCCAACTCTTGAGCCACGATCGTCCCATTTTAGATTTGAGAAACTGCTGATCTACTTGGGATGTTCCCACACAACCATCTCTACAGTTTGCAGAGAACGATTTAAAAAAGAGGAAATATTCAGGGTGGGGTGGGTTTCTGGGTGAAAATACCTTGCAGAGGTGTTTTTGTACACATTGTTTAAATACTAAACAATGTGTTAGTGTTTACCACAGTCATCTCTTTATAACCACAGTGTACATTTTTGGATGGCTGCTTAGAGCAGGATAAGATGTCACGTCACAAAGCCCAGACCATCTCAAACCGGTTTCTTGATCATGACAATGAGCTCACTGTGCTCAAATGGCCTCTGCAGTCACCAGATCTCAATCCAGTAGAGCAGCTTTGGTGTGACGCTATCATGTCAAGCCAAATCTCAGAGGAATGTTTCCAGTACCTTGTTCACTCTATGACACAAAGACCGAAAGCAGTTATGAAGGCCAGCACTAGCTACTTTACAGTACTTTTGTTTACTATACAGGATCTAAGTTAAACTCCTCTTAACTCTGGGACACCTCAGAGTCTAAAAAGTGGCTTAAAAGAAGCTCCGTAATGACTCTCACAGTAACAGCTCAAGGGAATACAAAAACAGAAAACTGATAAGCATAATGTTTGTGTTGTCATATCATGAAGACTTCTGTTCAAACTCAAATTTCATAAGCAAAACTCCAGAAATAACTAGTTCTGTTTTACTTTTTGTGTAGTATTGTTTATTGCACGTTTATTTTTTAAATGAAAGAGACAATTTAAACAAAAATTACAATAGAAAATCCACTGCACTGTAATAGGAAAGTGCAGCTTGAGGCTTTAGAATTGATGAAGCAAACTGATTAATATTTGAAAAAGGTGGAACTGTCTCGCACCATAACCAGCTTTCTGTATAGTATTAAAAAGAAATAAGCAGGATATAGGATTAACAGATTGAGCAAGTTGTTAAGATGAGGACTCCTTGCAGCTTTACTAATAGCAGAGGACATCCGTATGCATCTTTGTTATAAAACAAATGTATCCTTTATGTAAATTTCCTTTTTAGTACTGATTCACTACATGGTTCAATGACACATTCAATCAAAAACTACATCAACACATGCACACAAGCAAACAGTTTTATTTGCTGTCTTTTGACATTGTACTACAGCCGGTTTTAGAGGCTAAAGTTAAACATAAACTCTTGATCATAAGATAAGCAGACAACAGCGGGGTGAGCTAACGGATAAATTAAGACACCTGTGTGTACAGATGCATCGGTTCAGCTGCTTTGTGGTTAGCATGAAAATTACCTGAAGCAGGAAATGAATAGCATTCAGTTAACCTACTACACAAACATCCAAAAAACAATCTCAAGGTCAAAGGCTGACTTTCAGTTTAACCCATGAACACCTAGTCCATCATATTTGATAAATATAGTTTTGTTTTTGAGACATCTACAACTATGTGATTTTTTTTTCTCCTGAAAAACCTAAAAAACATTTTAAAGCAATTTCAAGACATGGCAAATATGATACAAATGAAAGCTATATATGGAAATGAACATTTTATAAATAAAACTGTCAGGTGGTTTATTAAACTCTAAAGTTTCAAAAAATGCAAATTAAAATGTTAAAGTTTTAACCGACTATAAACATGTCATGTGTAATGATTAGATTGCAAGTCTGGTCCATTGTTATTTGCCTCATTTTAATTTTCTCAAAACTTTTTTTGTTTCTTTTCATTTGGCTGCCCACACTCACATGCAGCAGGCCTATCCATTTACACTATGGCAGAACACAAATGAAAGCAGGCACACAGGTACAAGTCAACATATACTCATACTCTCAAGCCAAATTTGCCTTCATTTTCATGCACCCCTCTTGCTGTAGTGAGTTATTAAATTAGGCTAACCTGTGGGTCTACAATCTCCATTGCAGAACAAAGGGAACTGGCCAATAGTTCTCCTCGGGGAAGATGAAAATAAGCAATTATTCCATCTAGCTTAGTTCAGCTGAACTTAGAGGTCATGTCTCCTTTTGTTTAAAAGAAGAAGCATGAGAGGGAGCAGGTGCATTGGTGAAATTTATACTTAGAACATGCTCGTGGGAGCACACTCAAATTTATCTTCATGTTAGATTGAGCAAAGTGGCCTCTGGGTAGGTTTAGCCAACACCAGAGAAGGGAACAGTTTTCTCTACAGTGGTTTCATTTTTTGTATTTGTAGAATAGCACAAAACAGTCTTTGTACAGTATGTTGACATGCATGAAACAGCGATAACAGAACGTCCAGTTCCATCAAGTTTCCCTCTTTTTTATTTCCTCCTTCCAGTTACACCAAGTTAATATTTTGAGGAAGCCCACTGTTTGTAAACACAAACGAACAACCACTCTCTTTCAACCAACAGCAGTGGCATGACATTTTTGGCCTGCACGGATTACTGCATGCATTTGGAAGTTCCTGTTTATATGTGCCCTCGTGTATACACATAAATAATATCTATATTTACACACACACACATATATATGTACTACCCAGCCACACACAACATTATTCAGTGGCACACACATTCAACGGGAACCCGAACAATAGAAAGAAAATACAATTATAGGAAAGCAAAAGCAGAAGTTGTTCTCTCAGCACCGTGAAATGGGGAAATTTCCCAGATTACAAACAAAAGAAAAAGTGAAGTCACGTCAATTTGCATTGCCATTTCTAAGATGACTTGTTGAAAGCAATGCCTGAGGCTAGATGTTAACAGCAACGGTCGGGGTTTGTGTGACGCAGGTGGATAATAATACAGTTCTGGCATCACATTTGAGATTTTTATTTATTACAGTGAGACTCTGTGGTGAAGTAACGTACGGTACTTCACAGGAAGAATAAGAGCAGCAGCTTTTTAATTAACAGGAATCCAAAATAGCTAATCCATATTCCTAAAAACAAAAAGAAAAGGTTTTTTCATTACATAAGAAAAACAAGGGAAGCCTTCGCACTTATAAAATAGCCTCTCACTGAGGTTGCAATTATTCTAAAAGAGTAAGCCTCATCTTCAGATAAGGAAAAAACTCAAATTTGTGCTTCTCGTGTTACAAATGTGCTATTCAGTTTACAACTGCAACAACAACAAAAGCCTCTTTCCTTCCATGGTGGTGCACATACTGTGGATAACGTCGACTCAGTTTTATGTTGGAAATTCAGACAGATAGAGTTTGTGGTGCAGTGTAGGCTCAGAAATGTACATATCTGCATAATTGGGCAAAAGTCTTTTCTTTACTAGAAAAACGGGAAGTAGGTGCAGCGGTTTACTAAAACATGCAAAACATATAAGGCAAAAACAAAGTTTTTACAGTGATGTGCGGGAAAATCACTATTTGTTATGAACACCTTCTTTCCTCAACACAGCCTGAACTCTTGCCATGCTTTCTTGTAACTTCTTTCTCCAAGTCTGTAGGTGTAGTTCTCCATGGATCTTGGTGGATGTTTCAATGCTACATTTTGGATTTTGACTAACTTTTGTTCCATTCTCTTGCAAGATGATCCCACCCTGTTTCAATAATGTTGAGGTTCAGGAAGGCCAATTCCTCAGGTCCTGTTTTGATTGGGGTTTTTATTTTTCTTATTTTTTAAGGACACTGCCTTCAGATGCTGGTCATCTACCGTAGATAGGTTTTTCAGGCCTACCGCTTTTTCTTTTGTCCTTCACATATTCAGGTTCCTCAATTTTTACAGACATACTGCACAGGCTGCTGAGATCTGTTAAGTCATCAGCTAACAGACAAAAATACTATTTTATATGTAAAATTAGGTTATCTTTGGGATAACCTATGGTAATGTAATGGTTAGGCTAGGTAATGATGATCAGTTTTGCCTATAGACACAATTTGAAATAAAATTAGCTACGTTGTCTGATATATAGAGACAGCTAAAAGGAGTGAAACAAAAATGAGTGAAAAGCATCCAGTGTCTAAAGAAGGCTTTTGAAAAAACGTAAGGAAGACTAAGGACTTATTGTAAAAGACCGTGTTAGAAAAAATATATATAAATAATTCTTGGAAGCAAAATATAAACAAATTGGGGGGGCTTCGTGGAGTAGTATATGATGAAGCGATAACTAGGCGGTAACTAGGAGAATTGTTGGCAGTGCATCAATATTTACACTCTCCTGTATGTGACCAGTGACTGCAGTTTATGTTTAGTTCATCTGGTATATTCCACCTCACTAAATGTAGCTCAAACAGCCAAACCACCACCTGAATCAAACATACTGTAGAGCCTGAAAGTTTTAGTGTTCACTATAGTGGAGTGAAAAACTTTCAAATGGCTGTGACCGTGTCATAAACAATCCAATAAACTCGCCAATACATTTGCATGAGCTTAACGTCACCAACCGCAGTTCCTCTTGATGACATAAAGACAATAACAACATGTGTTTGTACACCAGTGAGGAAAAGGGGAACACTGACAGAGCAGAAGCAGCAGCTGATTGCAGTTATGACATTTCTCGCACTCGAGGAGAAAAGAGGTCATATGCTGCTCTGCTCGAATGGCTATATTAGGGTTTTCAAACCCCAAATGGGATGAAGGTAGTTGAATAATCGCATAAAGCACAAGGCCACAATTCTGCAAACACTGCACATTTTACTGCCCACAGACAAGAACCCGAAGACACGACTGTTTCAGCCCTACCACTGTGTTTAATATCCCGTTTTTAGCTTGGATCCCATCGCCACAGGATCATAGTTAAAATTAAAATATGTTTTGACAAAGCAGTATTTTGTATTTCCCATTTAAAATAGTAGCGAATCCAATTTAGCAGCTTGCACAGTAATACTACTGACAACACAGGAGTAGTATAAACTGAATAGTGACAAACATGCTACACCATCCTATGAACCACGCTTTGGGTTTACCCCAGAGCTGCAGAGTGACAGAGGGTATATTAGTGTGACAAACATTACAGAGGATGTGTTTCAAAGAAGTTCTGCCTGTGATGGATTTATTTTCTTTGCAGTTTCCTTTGTCTTGTTTGATTTTTGGTTTGCCATTGTTTACCTCGCTACATCTTCACAACAGGAACCAGAAAAGATGCATAAAAGTTGTTTTCTTAACTGAGATAAGAGTTGCCTGCTTTAAAGTGAATCCCTGGAGCGCCTGAATAAATGAACCCTCATATACTTTGTATTTGCCTACATTAACCGAAGCACTCTCTGATGCACGGCCTCCTGTGCTTCTCAGATAGAGGATATTAGAGGCAGTGCTGCTTTCTAGTGGCAGAGGAGAATAATGGCCTGATGAACAACAGATTGGATATTGTGTCATAATCCGTGACAAAGTTAATAGGCGTGCTAATATCCTTCTATCAGCAGAATAGATAACTGTGAAGGATGACAAGGGAAGATATCTATTTTGTAATCTGTCACCTTTGTGTGTCGTTTGATGATTTGCAAGATGCATGTTAATCATGCTTTGTTTTATTTTATTTTATTTTTTTGTTCTCCACAACACTTTGGATGTCACAGCGATGAGGAGGCCTCCTATTCAGGTGTCTTTCCTATCATACCCGGTGATGTCATGTCAGTCAAAGAGGTCCTCAACATGGACAACTTCCCTCGGCACAGGACATGGTGAGGCACAAAACAGCTCACAGATCATCTTCATACAGATGTAATTTGTTGAAAAATACTTTTCCATTTAAATTATGTTTTAATTAAAATGAAACGTGTTAATTCTAGTGTCCTAAATATTCAATACTTCCATAAGCCGAGTCAAGCTCAGTGAAATGTGTCCTGGGAATTTCAATGGATATCTATCAACAAATGCATATCACGTTGCAGGACGATGCAGTCAAATTATCCTCTTTAAAAAAAACAATAACATCCTTGAGGTCCAAAAATGTGACTCAAAAGCATAGAAAGTGAGAGCAACCACATGATCCTTTAAATAGTCCTAGTAGCAGAGGCTCATAAAAACCAGAAGCCTGCATCTGCAAGTCTTGATGCGGGGATTTCTAACGCAGGATGAGTCTTCAGTGCATGAAAAAAGGGCAGCAACCATGGACGAGTCTCTTCACACTGTCAACAAGGCTCCACTTTTTTTTTTCCTGAGGACTTCCTTCCTGGATGATCTGTTTATGTCATAAAACCCTCGCCTCTCTGTCACTATCCATGCTCTCTCTCCACTTTATTTGACAAAGAAGAGTGGGTCAACTTCCACTGACGCTTTGCCCTGCGAGCTAATACAGCACAAGAGCTTTTCTGTCAATAGAGAATCTCAATAAACAACGGAAATCAGGGTTTTTTTTCCCTCGTTCTCGTCCGTCTATAAAAGGCCAGCTGGGTCCCTTCATTTGCTGGCTGATGTCATGGACCAAATAAGCAATAACTATTCAACTGCAGTCATGCAGAAGAAGGATATTAGATATGTTTGTATTTTTGTGGTTATAGATAGAAGGAGGGGGGTCTCACATCCTGTGGAAGGATGTAGAGCACAGCGCACTGTTTTATTTGTTAGTCAATAAAACTCTTTTGTTTTTGTTATTTAATTATAATAAATATTTGTTTCCCCATTTATTTAATGTTCATGAAACCCTTCATCACACAAATGCATGAAACTGTAACCAGGATCAAGACTGATGGGACACCACTGATAAACATCAACTACCGCCACACTCAAATGACAGCTAATCTAAGATAGGAGTCAGCCGATACTGATGATTGTCTGATAAACTCAAGCTATCGAACATCTTCATTTTTGACTCTGGTTTGTTTACAGCGAGTGGGGCAGTGGTTAGCCTTATAGCAAGAAAGCCCTTGGCTTGAATGTGATGGCCTGTGTAGTTTGCATGTTCTGCTGTGCCTGCACGAGTCCTCACTGGGGACTCTTGACTTCCTCTCACAGTCCAAACACATGGGTGCTGAGTTAAACAGTGATTTTTTTTTTCTTTTTTGTGTCCCGTTTGGAACTTTAGCCATCAGAATTGTTGTCTTAAGGCCAAGAAAGATGCCAAGCGGATTTATTTTACCAAGTGGATCATCATGGCCTTTCCATATTGGTCCATTTGATTGACCTTTATTATAATTATGAATTTATTTTATTTTGGATTGCTACAAACGAGACAGACATGACTGGGGGATAGGACAGGGAGAAAGAATGAAAGAAAGAGAGGGAGAGAAAGAAAACCAGAGGGGAGAAGAGACAGTGAGAAAAGGGGGGAAGAAAGAAAGTTACCCAGTTACTCACTCACTCACCTCTTAACTACCTATGTAGTTAACATCTACAGACTACTGCAGATTAAACCTACTAGTTTGTTTTAATTTAAAAGATATTGAATTTTTTTTAAATCACTTTATGACTCTGAGTATAAGGACTTTGCAAACAGTCTGTGAAAGTAAAGAAACATAAATAAATAAAAAAGGTCTTTTTTTTCCACTTATAGAACATATACCACCTACACAGTGCTCTCGTGTCTGGTGCAGTCACGTCCATTGATAACAGCCTATCTTTGCAGCATCTTTGCAGCAGACGGTTTGGTTTTCAAGCAAGTGAAGAGTGAAGGCAGTCTGCCAAAAGGAGCATGAGATTTTAAAGAAAAAAAGCCTCCATGTGTTCAAGAGGGAATTACAAAACTGGTTTGTGGGTCGATTTGAAAGACATGTTGGTTAATTGTGTTGGACTTCATATACGAAGCAAAAGAATAAATATTCTGGTACTCAAGCTGGACTTTTTTTTTTTTTTTGCCAGAACACATGGTCTTTAACTTAGTAAGTGAATCAGAATATAAGAGGATTTTGCTGATGACATGTATGAACTCTTTTTCTTTCTAAGTGTCTTATGATCATGTTGCCAGGACAGGATTACTGCTCGGCTGTCATATCTAAAAATAATCCCAGAATAGAGAGGTTTAGGTCACAGAGAACACACGCTGAGGGATTGTTGCCTCTAGTGAGTTGATTTGCTTTACCAAAATCCCTCTTCTGCTCTAGGGGCACCTTGTCCTGTCTGGGTCACGTAGTGTCTGTGTTGCAAGTCAATAGCACTTTCAAATTTAAAGGCTTAGCAGCAGCCAGTTTCCTGTTCTCCAGTCTATCCACAACCTGATTACACTCTTGTGTCAAAAAGGATTTGACATTGCTAGTGTAGACTTCATCATAAGTGCTAAAAATAAAAGATATTTCCTTCTTCAGGCCATGAAAGGAAGCTCTGGCTGGCAAGTGGCCAAAAAAAGTAAATAGACAGATGAACAGAGGTCACAACCAGTGTTAAAGTAGCAGATTAGAAATAGTAGAAGACAGTTGCCAAGTAGCAAGAGTGAAAAGAGGGGAAGTCATCGAGGGTGAAATCACACCCTCTTGAAAGACAAAACACAACTGAAAGTAATGAGCCTCAGCTGCAATGATGTAGTCCTGCCAACTTAGCATCTCATTATGTCCCCTCTTCCATATCACCACGACAACCCTCCTATCTCATCAACCAGTGACTATCCATCCACAAACATGCTCAGCTAATGCCGCAGTTTTGTGTCACCTTCAGATTTTAAGATCCAAACCCTACCGCGCAAATTTGCAAGGTCGACTCCCTCTGAAGTGCATCTTCAAACTTCCTTTCTCCTCAGATGTGCTCAGATGAACACAGTGTAGACGGATAGTTTAGGATGGAGGCTGGAAAAAGCTGAAGATGACTGACCTCTACGGGCCAAAAACGAAAGGATGGAAGGATGAAGCTGAAAGCTCTTGAGAACTGGCACACTATTTCCAGACCTCTGCTTGAGCGTTTGCAAGATGGGGGGAGCCTAACATTCGATTTGATTTGTGCGGAAACGAATGTGCTAGATCATTCTGTGCTGGCAACTACATGTTCCTATCAGATTCACGTAATGGTCTCTCCAGTATCTTCCCCACATAGTCTGAGGTAAGAAATAAATTATGCAGCTTACTCATGCATGCCCGGTTTGTCTTGGCAAGAAGGTTTTTCCTTTTCTTTGCAGAGACAGGAAAGGTTTTGGAGAAATAATAAACCCATAAACCTCTTCATGCCCACTGACTCGATGTGATCCAGTGATTCATTCCACTCAAGGCTTAAATCTGAACCCAGAGAGATTAAAAGCACCAACACACTTTGCTAAACAAGCCGGTGGCAACAAATACTAAAAACTGTGTTTTTAGGCACATGGGATTGTTAGTGTGTGTTTGCACATATTTATTTGCCCGTTTAATCAAGAAGTTTGCGCATTTAACGGAAAGATCTCGGCCATTTACCGAGCGATTCATGCTCTAGCAAAAAAACTCAGAACTGCTCGTGTGAATATTTAAGATTCTTTCTCTCTGCTGTGGCAAATAATTAAGCCCTGGGGTCTGCCAGTCAAAAAATACTTCAAGATGCACATGCACTCTACCATGATGAGAGAGGAGTATTCATAATAACTATAATTACATGATAGCGTGTTTAAGTATGTATATATCTATTCAAATGGATTAACTGGATGTACAGAGGAGATGTATACATATTCATTCCGTCAATATGTCATGCAAACGTGCATGGGCTACCAGTAAGGCTTCATTAATTTTTTAAGAGGTGCCTGGTTTGTTTAACAGCTTACAAGGAGATCAGAGCACAGGTTCAAGAGCTGAGAGCTGGTAGGGATTAATTTTGTAACTTCACAAACACTTAGATTAACACAAAAGAAGAGACTAATCAAAAGCAAGTCTTGAACCTCTTCCTCTAGTAACGAAAGTTTTCCTACTTAGTGTGTCACCTTTTTGTCCTGGAAAAAAAAAAACAAACAAACATTAAATTTGCTTCCTCTGACTGAATATACTATCACAGCTGCCTTGCATCTCCATGACAACCAGCCTGATGAAAGGCAAGTCAAGGATGTGACACGGCCGACGACACGGTGTCGCTTTGAACTGTCCACACCTGAAGGATTCCTGAAGAGGTAGAAGCGTTGCATCGTTTTTACAGTGATGTGAATCAGCAGTGGCAGCCGGGCTTGATGTACAACTCAGAAATACCAACGCCTCAAAGCCTTTGAACGTGTGCGAGAACCGTGCTTATATGAAATGACAGAAAGCTACAAATTGAGCAGCGAGCTAATGACCTCATCAAGGAGCGTTTGAGAAGACAATCTGACGAATATCATAAAACTAGCATTTGACTGTAAATGAAGTGGGACACACTGAAATTGTAT